CAAATTCGAAAAACTGATACGTCAAAAGTGGTACAACGTGACGCAGAGCAACCAAACAAGCGTTCAAGGATAAACTCACATTCGGATCCTAGTGAAATTCGAGAGATAGAGCAATCCGCCAAACGTTCTAAGATGAACCCACCTTCGAATTGTAATCAAATTCGAAAAACTGTCGAAGCGGTGACGAATACGGTAGCAATAATAGAATTTTCGATGAACGAAATTGTATGGGAAAACTCAAGGGTCACCCACACTGGCCTGCGAGAATTTGTGGATTCGATAACAAAAAATTCGAAATTGTATGGTTTAATGATTATAGGATATCCAAAATGTTCAGATCACAGTTATTTAAATTTAACGATGTTAATTTCAAAGTATTTTCTAAATCACGTAAAACGGGTTTAGAAGCGGCTGTAAAAGAAGCCATTCTGTATGGAATGGCAACATCGCATTAAACCATGCATTTAATTCGAATTATTTGTTTTAATTCGAATCAACTGAATCAACTAAAGATTGCAATGTGAATTCAAACAAAAAATAGACATATTTCAAAATATCTATACTACCAATAGGGATATGTTTAGATTAGACGTAAAACTTCTCTTCAATTTACCACTCCTTTGATAAATTGAACGACGACTTTTGCAGTCATTAAGGCCGTTATCAAAATGTTGAACGCTTCAATTAGTCTTTCATTTTTACACGTTTAAGTTAGGCTATATTGGATCGTTGACATGTGGCTACCTTTATTCATTTCCATGGTTTTATTTATTGGATTAATAATAATAATGCGAATTCACATATTAAATTCTCATACAAGTCGAGAACCAATATTTAAATCAAAACTGATGTAACACCCTAATTTTATAAACACAAAAAGATCGTGCATGATTCTTAGAGTCATTTTCCTGTTAAATTAAAATATTCAGCCAGTACTTGTCGGTGTCAATAAAACTGAACAAATCAAATTCAGCATTGTGTTTGCAAACAAATTATCTTATTTCTCATTACTTATTACTTTTAGGTGGTCCACTCTTTACAACATTCCATTTCTTACGTTTAGTTTCAACTATAGTTTAACCATTTGATAATTTTATTTAACTTGTCTTTCAAATTACACACGTGGGTTTTTAATTTCTGACTGGTGCTAATTTCGTTTGATACGGCTCTATACAAATTTTCGAAAACATTATAATGTACCGATGACATTTTTAACCGGAAATATTAAACGCATGTATTCGGATATGATTAATCATGCTAATTAGCATTGATTTAGTTGTCAATTGTTTTCGATATTTTTCGAATTGAATATTTAAGTAGCCATTTGGTTTAACTAGAATACATTTTGAAATTAATTTAAATAAGCGAATTTGCTATATGTTTTGACACATATTTTTGCACACATTACCATCAGAATTGTGTGTAAAAAAGAGACAAAAACGCCCACGTTTTGTACGGAATTTTTTCATATTTTACGGTAAATTACGGTGAGGTTACGGTAAAATTGAACTCAAAATCCGGCAATAATGTGACCGTAATTTTCACGCTTATGGATTGTTACTTGGGTCTCTCTCTTTCCAAATGCTTTGCTTAATTTTTCACTATGCACACAAAAGGATCGCCATTCATTTTCCACATGTGGATCTCTCTCTCTCTCTATCTCGTTCTCGCTCGCCTTTGTTTCGTTTTGTTTATGGACTAAGTGTTTTTGGTGAAGTATTCATGAAACATATATATGCGAAACCGTTTAGTGAGTGAGAACAGAACAGAATAGGAAAAAAAATTAAACAAACTTGTGAAAACTACAATATGTTTTGGTTGGTCTAGTTGCGTGCGAATGTGGAATATTGTGTAACAGTATGTGTATGGTGGATTGCTTTTGTTTTGTTGAAATTCATTCAAAAATGGTTTTCATGAATATTTCAACTGATTTTTACTCTCTCTCTCTCTCTCTCTCTCTCTCTCTCGAAGAGAGTCTCTCCTCTTTCTCTTTCTCCCTCTCACTCTCACTTCTTTTGTATGCATGAAGTGAATTGTGAGTGGGTCTGTGTATGCGATTGTGCAATGTGCAGCACATTTGGTATGTATGTGATAATATGTGTGTTGGGGTGGGTTTCGAAGCTCTCAAACTAAATCTATAATTCATCTTAAATATCATAGAGCAAAAAGAAAAGATGAAGTGAAACAAGAAAAAGACTGTAGAGAAAAAACGAATTGTATAGTGTGAGACGTGAAACCATGTGACTGTGATAGATGCTCTTATGTGTTTCTCAAATCCTACATATTTTCAAAGGTATTTTATCAAAGTTTTAAGAGAGATAACAATTCAAATAGCTATCTACATCAATTGGATTTAGTATATTGAAAATCTCCACTAATAAAATTTGATTGTTACTTTTGTGTGTCTGTGTGTGTGTGTCAACCACTTTATGCCTTAATGCACAGAACATTTTCGCAGCCAAACAATGAGTAGAGTGTTGTTGTTGTTGTTGTTGTCGAATGAAAATCGATGATTCCGCAAGCCATTCAATGGTCAATGTAAATACCAGTTTAATTGATGTTATCTCCCTCTTTCTCTCTTTGTCTGCATTGAGATGTTCAAAACAACTGTGTTGTTGCATATGCAAACAGTTTTGTCGTTGTGCCACATAATATAATGATTGAATTGCTGGGCAGTAATCACAATTTGGACTCGCTTTGATCGTTCGGGCAAAAGAAAAGCCAGAAATAGAAATGCCTTGCGGCCGAACTAACATTTTCACAGGATTTTAATTAAAGCTAGCTCCAAATTTTCAATCTAAGGCAGCCAGCCAGCCAACCATTCTTATCGATTTTTGACGGCATTTCAATAGACGACCATTCGTCTCAATTTTGATGCCACAAATGTAGGTTATATGATGATGATGTGCTGCTGCTGCTGCTGCTGCTATGTTCATTGTTCACATATTTGATTCTCTCAATAATTCAACAAAACAACTCACTCTCTCTCTCTCTCTCTTTGTTTTAGCTACTTTAAATTCAGAAAATTTGTGATTATTTTAGCTGCAAGTTATTTTCAGTATATAGTAGATATATTGTAATTAGTTCATATGTCAATCAAAATGTATGTATTTGTGTGTTTCTCTCTCTCTGTGTGTGTGTGTGGTTTTGCAATATTTATGATTTGGAGGAGTTAGTAAATATCACATCGAAATTCTCTGTAAGTTCTGAGTTTTCTTCGCTTCTTCTTGTTTGAACTGTAATGTTGTTGTATTCTGTATAATGATACCATCATGTCAAATTATTAATTTCTTTTCCTTTTTTTCTCTCTCTCTCTTTTTTGTTCTACTAAAATTTATTCAAGATAAACTAGACTCTCACTTTCCTATGCAAGTAGAAGTTTTAGTAATTTCAAAGTGAAAATATTAATCTTGCTGAAGATTGACTATCTAGTGGATAGTATGTATCTGTATCTGTGTATGTGTTTTTGTGAGTTGTGAGTTTGTAGAAATGTTTTTTTAGTATGTAAAAAGCATGTAAACTTTTTTTAAATTGTTCTAATTTTCTTTTCTTTTTTCATTCGATACGATTGTATTCCATCCGGTTTGTATTTCGATCGCTTCTCGACTGTAATGTTTTACGTGATTGCATTCACTTGTCTCATGTGCTCTCTAGTTATCTAAGTTAAAAGTTAACAAGAGCAAAAGATTTTCAGCTGCTGCTAATGTGCGGTTGCACATCACAAACACAGATTTCTCCTTCTCTCCGTTTTGGTCAGTAATATTCAGTGTAGAAAAAACATCAGTTGAATGTACAACGTTGATTCAAGCTCAATTTGGATTGATTTCTCGATTACTCGATGTGAATTTTTGTAGTTAAATATGGTATAGCTGCATTGGATTGATGTGTAAAGTGTGTCCGTTGACGAACATTTGTTTGAATGATGCTATTTTCAATTGCGACGGTTGTGCTATGCGGCAAAGGCGACGGTGGCGATAACGGTGACAGGTCAAACATAGTGTGAAATATAGTGTTTTTTCAGTTTCCCAGATTCGTCGTGGCTGTATTCAACCGATGACTTCAGTAGATGTTATTCGGATAATGGCTGTTTCAGGGGAATGCGTGCGTAGAGCTATTGTTATTCAAAAATAAAAGAAAAAAAATCGATTTTTTGTTACATTTCATTCAAATGAAATAAACGATTCTGACTGAATAAAAATCGAATTCAAATTGGATTTGAATTTGAAATAAAGAAGCAAAAAATTCCAACACTCACCCCTAATAAATTGCGCGGAACGTAACCTTCTTTGCCAGTTTCCTTCATTTTAGCCCACCACCGTTCGGCATCGTCACCTTTTCGCAAGATTATCAGCTGGTCGTTGACTTCAAACGTTAGCTCATCCGACTGTTGAGCTTCGTACGAAAATACCGCATACACCTCTCCATTATTCATTATACCTAATTTTTCTTGAATGCCTGCGGGGCGAAACATTTTCCAACAAATTAAGTGTTAAAATGGTAATTTAATGACTTTATTCCGCGCAAAGGAAAACAAGTGTGAGATAGAGGGAGAGAGACAGAGAGTAAGAGAAAGAAAACAGCATAGATAAATACGTACTGTACAAATACTCCGAACATCCATCGAAGCCTTCTTCGTCTTCTTCACATTTTTCGGCCGGAGTTTCGTGATCCGACAGCGTCGATGCGAATAGACAGGCTCCTGCTTCAACTAAAAATTTCACCATGGCCAAATTGTTGCAGCTCGCCGCACAGTGTAATGGCGTCCAGCCGTCAGAGTCTTGAGCATTAACATCGCAGCCAAATTCCACCAGAAATTTGTTGAAAGTCGAAAACACTCAATGAATGAAATAGTTCATTTTTTTCCATCGTTTTTTTTTTCTCTTTCGCACTTACTTGACAATATCAAAGTGTCCGGCACAGATTGCATTGTGCAAAGCAGTGATTCCTTCATCGTTCGCCGCACTCGGATTGGGCACCTGTATATATAACAGGAAAAAAAAGATGTCAAAAATGTAATTAAAAGAAAACAAAACCGAATAGAACAAAAAACAATCTCTTTAAGCGAAGATGGATTTTAATGAGATGTAAAGTGCTTGTGTTGTACCTGAGCAGCTGTTTTTTGAACGAGTTCCAGTTCACCCTCGAGACTGGCATCCAAGAGTAAGGCCAACGGGTCGAAACTAACGCGTCGCGTTAATTTAACTTTTGTGCTGCTATCGCTCATTGACGATCTCTGTCGACGCACCACTTCGTTATTTTGTGGCGGTTGTGACAACGGTGCTACAACTGTTTTCTCCGCATCACTGCTCATCGACGAAATGGTCGATTTATCATTCTCATCGAGACTACTGTTACTACTGCCAGCCGGTGATTTGTTGGTCTTATTTTGATCGGCTGCCGCTGCCGACGACGCTGTGAACATCTTCGTCGATAGCATTTTATTTTCATCGATGTTCGATTTGAAGCGTTCATTTTCGGGAAACAGTAGCATCGTTGATGGCATTTCAATGCGCCGTGAACTGTATTGAATTGGTTTAATGCCCGACGCAAGCGATCGAAGACGTGGCTGTTCGGACAGCGGTTGCTTTTTTATCGTCAATGGCTTGGCTTGGCTTGGCTTTGATCGGAAAATCAATAGTGTGTGCTTGAATGTGTGAGCTGCTGATTTGTTGTTGCTGTTGCTGGCCGCCGGATTCAATGTTGTTATTCGTTCGGTTGTTTTCATTGTGCACGGCTTTGTCGTAGGAAGTAATTGCCATTGGAGTTGTTATTGATGACGTGCTTCGATGATGATTCGCATTACCATTCGCCGACGATGCTGATGATGTTGGCGACGATTCATTGCTACTGCCGCTGCTGCTGTCGCTATTTTTATTTGGTTTCGGTGGCAAGGCTGGTCGTGATTTATCCAACAATTCAGTTGTCGACAAAATCGGCGTGGAATTCACATTGGGCGCAACGGCATGCACACGCGGACTTGGTATGGTTGATTTGACGGATGGAGTTATTGATGTCGGAGCTACACTACTGATTGGCTTTCTCGGTGGCACAACTAAATTCTCGGACGGAATTTGATGTGTCATCAAAAGCTTTGATTTTTGTGCCGTTTTACCAGCGTCGCTGTAACGGTGATTACCATTGGAGGAAGCGCATATCGTCGTCGTTGTCGGCGGCGGCGTTAGCGTCGCTGACATCGTACTAATGGCCATGCTAGACGGCACCAGTGATTTATTTATTGCATTCAACATATCATTCGCAACAACAGATGATGGCTGATGCAAACATGATTTCGGTACTTTTGTTTCCGTATCATGTTCGACTTTCGCACTGTCACACTCGTTGAATTTGGAATTTACTGTAGATTCCACTTCATCAAAGGAGTCCATGCTCATCGCAAGCATTTTGCTGGTTGGTGCTGTTGTTGCTGCTGGCGCTGTAGCCGTCGTCGTCGTCGTCGATATTGTTCCAGCCGGGCTACATTTCGTCATTCGTACTGTATTGTATAATGTGTGCAGTTTTGAATCGATTTTATTCGTTGTCACAAAATCAGTGATGTCAGCATTTGCATTCAAATCAAAATCCTGTGAATGCTGCTGCTGCTGCTGCTGTTGTTTCATGTGCAGCATTTGTCGTGCCAACTTTGTTTCGTCACTTTCCGGAAACTGAATGTGATTTACGTTGACATTTGAATTACTGTTCAGAGTATTGTTCGCATTTTTTTGGTTGGATTCATGTAAATTCAATTTTAAATTTGCCAAATCTTCCACCATTTTAACATGCTGCTGTTGCTGTTGCTGCTGCTTCTGTTTGTTCGCCATTGCATTTGGTTTCTGTTGTGGCATATGAATATAAGGCTCAACAGCAGCCACATTTCCCTTTGGTATGATGCGCTGTGATGGATACACACTATGTAATGGCCTATAATAAATGAGAGAGGGAGAGAAACGGAAAGAGAACAGAGAAAATGAATTGGAGGTTAAACATTTCGTTCGTTCGTTCGTTGGTGTGGTGGTTAAAATTAGTGGAGTAAATCATCTGAATAACAAAGAAAGCGCCAATCCCCAAAAACATTTATTTCATTTAAGCAGATATGAATATATATTTGTTACATTCATCAAGTTGAGCATATTTCACTAAACGGCAATTCCACGTGAAACCGAACAAAAGTTGAAATCGATGTCTCCGATTTTGCTCAAACTTGGTATGTAAACTTCTTATGGCGAGAAACTCGTAAAGCCAAAATATGGGGGTCATCCTCCCCCTACGGGGGGAAATTGGGGGGGTCGATTTTTCCCAAAAAAGCGATAGAGGAGATTTTTTGAAATTTTTACATTTTTTATGTGTGGAAAAAAGATCTAAAACTGAAGGCATGGTTGGATAGGGAATCGATGGGGCTTCAAAAAAGTCATCCACTGGAACCCCCTCCGGCCCCATTTAGGCTCCCAAACGGAGGGTTAAAGTATAAAATGTGAAATACCTCACAAGACGTCAAATTATTTTTTCGATTTTTTTTGCTTAAAAGTACGGCTACCTTGAGTACTTGTCCAAAATCGATCGAATTGACCACTGGCAACTTCAGGAAAAAAATAAAAAAAAAAATTCAAAAATTTTGACCCCCTTTTTTTGGTAATTTTGGCTATAAATGATTTTTTAGGCCAGAAGAGGTGGTCCGACGGTGGTGGTGTGTTCTGATGAAATGCTCGGCAGGCTCCAGCAAATCGAAAAAAATCAATGGTTGGGGTCGCCCTCCCCCTTGGAAGGGCAGGGGAGGCTCCAAAACTCGAAAAATCTCCAAAAATCACTATTTTTGGGCAAAAAGAGGGCGAAACCCCAATTTCACCACAAACCAGTATGCTATTCTGAAAGCGCGTGGAAAATGCAACCAACGCTCTCATATATTAAATTCCTTAAAACCCCCCTTCTGCCCTAAATTGTGGTTAGAAGTTCAAAAAATTACGAAAAATTACGAAAAATGTCGCTCTTGCAAGCATACAAGCACTTTTAATGGCCTTTGTGCAGGTAAGAAATAATTTTAAGTGTAGTATTTAATCTTTAATTTAATTTGGCGCCAGATTTACACACCCACAATAGCAAAAAAGTTGCAATGGGGAAGACAATTTTGATGAAAAATGATTAAAATTCAAGAAAAGTGTACTAAAGTATGGCAAATATCGCATTTATGCGTCGAAACCATTTTCATATTTTGTGTCCTCCCTCCTCCCGATACAAATCGAAAAAAATCCTCCCTACATCCACTTCAAATATTGCACGACAACACGACAACACGACACAATGCTGTATACATAACAATTTCACATACATTTCAATCATCCAAATACAAACCATTTTTTTCTTTCAATTCCACTGTCCGCATACAAGCGTTTGACTGCACTCCGTATTACACAGTGAATACGTATGTGCATTTTTTTATCACTCGTTTGTTTTTGTTTATGTTGAGTGTCGCCATACACACCATTCGTTCGATCGTCCGTTTTGCTCGCTTGCGTTCAGAGTCTATTGCGCTGATACTTACACACATTCATATAAACAGCAGAATATTCAGAGCTCAAAAACGTGTGCACTAGTGTTCTCGTCGGGGCCGAATTTTTGACCCGACAACCGACCGACAATCAGCTATGCTCGCCGATAACCGACTGAAACCCGACATTGTCGGTCGGGTGTCGGTCAGGACTTTTTCGGGAGCTCGGATTTATTCGGGGTTTCGGGGATAATTCGATTAGTTGAGGTATTCTCGGGGTTTCGGTGAATTTTTGAGTCAATTTTTTCGAATTTTCGTCCAAAAACACATGAATTTTCCGATTTGGTATGTTGATAAGTGAGGTTTAATTTTACATTTTCTACCAAAAAATGAAAAAATTTTGAGTCATGGTCAAAAAATCAGGAAAATCGTAAATTTTGATGATATGCAGTGCCACAAAAGACTCAATAAAATTGATTTGCCCTTTCTGTTCAGGCCCACACACATATAAAGCATGCCCTTTGCCGCCTGAACGAAAACCTCGTCATTGTTTCCATTGCAAATCTTCAGAGCACATTGCTCCGTCTTGTCCAATGGCAAATACACAAAAATTAAACAGTCAAACATTCCAATCCAAGCCGATGCAAAAGCAAAACACGTCAAATCAGTCTGCTCAGACCAATCAAGTTCACATGCCAAGCTCTACGCCAAAAGTTGACTCAATGGAATCTCAACCATTCGATCCATCCAAAGTAGATTATATCAACTACTTAGGACATGCGTATACTGGCTACACGCCACCACCTTTGGCATACGTCGAGTCGTTGATATATTTCCCAGCCCACGACGAACGACCTCATGTAACTCCACGAGTCAATGACATGGATATGAATGGACTGTGTGACACTGGTTCACATGTGACGGCAATTGGCCAGAATCTGTACGAAGCAATCGATTGGAAGACTAAACTGTACCCATATGATTCGGCAGTAATCACAGCCGATGGCACGCGTCACGCAATTTTAGGTATCATGTTTTTAGAATATCAATTAAGAGGTATAAAGAAAATAGTCCCAACGATGGTTCTGCCAGTAGTTATGAAAAAACCCATATTCGGAATCGATTTTCAACGAATTTTCGGTATGGCGTTAACTTTTCTTGAGACCAGTTCTATTCAATTAGAACAGCCCAAACAAGAAAACGTACTGACACCTCACGAACTGTCTCCTGAACAAAAAACTCTTCTCGATTCGGTGATAGCTACTCTGCCAGTAGTTTCCGAAGAAGGAATATTGAATTGTACCAACAAGATTGAACATAAAATTGATACCGGCGACGCTAAACCTGTGTACCAAAAGCCATACATTTATTCGCCCAAATTGCAAGACAAAATTAAGAGTGAAATCGATAGATTGTCATCTAGAGGCATCATAAAAAGAATACCTGAAAGTTCGTGGTTGAACGCCATGGTTGCGGTTCCCAAACCCGACGCGACACTGCGCCTTCTTGACAGTTCTCATATAAATGAGCCCAGAAGCGCCAACTGGTGCAAGAACATGTAATAGAACCGTTGTATACCAATAGTATTAGAAGCTTACACGTTGGGTATACTGTTATTGACTGTTTTGAATAGTAGTTCTTTCACATAAAAACATAAAAATCTGCTTGCATTACACTGATATCTCTCTTATTCCATTGATATTTTTTCCAAATGAGAAAAAAAAACATTTCAAGCCTCAATTGCACAGCATATCACTATTAGAATCATTGTGTCAACATGAATCAACCAATAAACAAACCAAAACAAACACAAACCACACAATGAAATACCACGTTTGTATAAATATAGTAATCGCTTGAAGAGAAAAACTCAAAAAAACATGTTTCAATAAAAAATAATATTCTAATATTTTATACCCGGTAAATATAAAATTAAATGAAATTTTTGTGTTTTCACGTGTTTTCATCAACATGAATAACTGCGACAAATGTCACTTCATGTTGTCATTGAAACAATCGGAACGTGGAACGTCAACAAATGAACTGACATTTGTTCGCAATTCTTAAGTTACTCTTGTGTTGACAAAAACACGCAAAAACACGAGAAAAATGTTGGATTTTACGTTTTAAAATAACAAGATTAAATTCTTGCATTGAAAAAAAAATTTTTGCGCTTTTTAATAAAAATGAACTCAAAATATTTCTTGAGAACAGGAAACCGCTCAATAAGCAATTGACACATGTATATATTTGTATACAAGCTTTTGAATTTGACGTACGTTGTGCTTGTAGTACTTGTTCTTGCACCAGTTGGCGTTGACGTAAGAAGGCATAGCGTCGACCCGACGGAGTCGTTCGATTATGCATCGATGCGCGTAAACTGAACGCTATTACTAAGAAAAATAGGTACTCCCAAATGAATCTAGAACGCATTTTTGCACGAATGAGCAAAGCACGCTTCTTTAGCGCAATCGATTTGAAAGACGCATTCTATCAAATCCCATTGAATGAGTCAGATCAAGAAAAAACCGCATTTTCAATCCACGGCCTCGGTATTTTCGCTTACACTCGAATGCCGATGGGATTAGTAAACTCAGCTGCTACGTTGTGTCGTTTAGTAGAATCCGTTTTCAATGTGGAAACTGAACCCGAAATCTTCGCATATATCGATGACTTCATTATATGCTCGGAAACCTTCGAAAGACACATCGAATTATTAGAAATAATGTCAGCCAAATTGAAAGAAGCTGGTTTATCGATCGGATTGAAAAAATCGAAATTTTGTATGAAAAGGCTAAAATTCCTCGGTCACATGATCGACCAAAACGGCGTAACGATTGATGAGAGTAGAATCGAAGCGATAAAAAATTACAAATTTTATTTTATTTTATTTATTTTATTTTATTTATTGTGCAAAATTTAACTGAACAATGAACAGGCCCTGGCCCAATTATACATTGTCCATTGGATTCGTTTGTTGTGCTATAGTTTTGTTTTAATTGAGAGCTA